CGGTGTTTCTCGACCCTGGATCCGCAGGCGTGTTGTTGCTCAATGGGGGCCGGTTTTGGGAACCACTTCCCTGTCGAGCGTTAATGCGCCATCCGTTTTGGTGCTGAAGCGGCCCCTTATCGACGTTGCAATCTTGGGCAGTTGACCCGCCGCGATCCACGCAATCTGAAACACAATCCCCTCCTTCGAACCATCTCTTGAACGCATCGCCTGACCCACTTCCTTCTTAGATAAAGGCCTCGCCTGCCTTTTTGCGCTGCTGGCGGAAATGATTCGCAGACCAAGGGTCGTCATATCCGAGGGCTGCGCGGTTCATCGTTAGCATCGCCCGCAACATGGGCACGCAGTGCGATCGTGCCACAGAGCCGATCGCCTTCAGTGAGAAAAAAAAGCTGCGCTCTCTTCGCTTACAGGCTGGTTATGTACTTGGCAAAGCGTTGTAAACCGACCTGCTAGTGAAACGTATTGCCTCCAAGCGGACGAGGCCCGCATTTCTCTGGCCACCAAAGATTGCTTTCGCCAAACAACTGGGGCCCACAGGCGGGCGTTGTTGGCGGATGGCGTCGAGTCCTTGGCCTCTCGGTTTCGTTTCGCTGTTTGTAAAAGAATGTCCAAATCCTTTTGGCGTCTTCTTGCTGCCCCTTGCGGGTCCAAGGCAGAAGGCGGGGATCCCCCTCTCCGAACCAATAGGGGGTGGGCTGCCGCTTTCCGCTTTTTAGGATAACGACTGTTCGAACATAGCGGCGATCATCTCTACATCCGGAGCCCTCGCGGTCTCACGTTAAACGTTGATACCTCGTTTCCGCATGTGTACAACAAAAAGCGGCAAATGGGGTCACCTCTCTTCCCCCCTTTTTTTCACCCCTGCAAGGGCTGAAGGGCCCAATTGCAGCCCATCCGCCTCACATACTGCATTCTGCAATTGTATGCAGATCCTGGGTTCCGAGAAGTTTGGATTTGATGATGATCGCAATGAAAGATAAAATTTATTCAATAAAGAAAATTCAAGGCTTTTGTGGGTTTGTCTGTGGGGTTGTGGTCCTCTGCAAGAGTTTTCACCCAGGAAGCTAACCCCCCCAAAAGCTTCCTTAGCATGCATGCTTTGTTTGGTAAGCCAGAAAACATGGGCTTCGTGCAGATCCATAAAAGAAAAATGACAGACAGCACACCGCCCCGTAAGCGCCGAGGCCACAACACAACGTTAAGCATTTGAAACATCGGCGCGCCTCCCCAACCACCAAACAAATATAACACCCCCGCTCTGGGGCATCAGTCAAAATTCCACCAGATAGGCCGAAGTTTCCTCCTCTGGGAGGGCAATCTCCGCCTCCGTGGCCTGCTGCTTCGTCAAAACCTTCAGCTTTTTATTGAAAGACAATTTTAATTTAATGGAAAAGTACGCCGGTCGGGACTCGAACCCGAGACCTTCGCCGTGTTAAAGCGACGTCATAACCACCTAGACCACCAGCGCTTGTTTAAACAAAGAAAATAAGACCTTGTTTATTCATACACCAAAACAGTTTTCGAGGTTTGGATATGTATGTAGATAAAATTATCGGAACGGTACCGACCTTCTGTAGCTCAATTGGTAGAGCATGTGACTGTAGAGATTAGCAGGTATCACAGGGTCGCTGGTTCGATTCCGGCCGGAAGGATAGATTTTTTTCAGTAATTTTTTTTTCATCCCAACCACTTTAATTAGCTAACTTGAAATTCAATGCAGTTCAAAGTAATAATAATAACACTCTTTCCTTCATTCTTCTCCAATTTTATTCTGTTAGAAAAACAATTTAGTCTCATTTTTCGCGTCCGAATCGTTAAACATGATTCGGATCATGTGAAAAAGTGCGATCAGTGAGGCTCGAACTCACGACCTTGGGATTATGAAACCCACGCGCTGCCGACTGCGCCATGCTCGCTTCGTCGCTGAGGATTTTTCCAATAAATGTAGGAGCTTTATCCGACCGTAAAAGATTGGAAGGACACATTGATGAATTGATCAAATGCAGGCTTTGATCAGTAGAGAAAAAAAACAAATTGCCTTGAGTGAAATATTTGTTTCTTTACTAGCAAATGATTTTAAAACAAAGTTTCTGAGTCTAAAATTTGTTTCGGCTTTTGGCAAAGATAAACTTATTCATATTTTCTTTGTAACGGGAACCTAGAAGCAATACACCTCTAGTTGAAACAAAGGCGAGGTGTCCACATTAAGCACACAGGGGCGCTGATAAACTCGTTCCGGTGGGAGCTTTTGTTTCACAATCCTCCTTGGTTTTTGGCCAAAAAATAAACCTTCATTTTTCTCTAACTTTTTTTTATCCTTGAAAGCAATCCCCCCCAAAACTTTATATTTTTGATTGGTCCAGTTCAAAAAAATTCCGATGCCGGGGATCGAACCCGGATCTAGCGGGTGAGAGCCGCTTGTTCTAGCCATTATACCACACCGGACATGCAACGATCATAATCATTACATTTAAAGGATTATTTTGTATGCTATCCTTATCCTTCAATCCCATTCTCCTCTCGGACTTTCTTTTCACATCGAGCCACCACAACCACGACCAACAAGACTACTCATCAAACAGTATCCATCCTTCCTTTCAATCATCCCCAACACCGCCTGTGTTCTCTGTGTGTGCACCGGGCCGCTGCGGGAATACACGCACGCACATACTCGCGTCGTAAAGACAGGATTCTTTTTTTAAATCTGTGAATAGGCATTAGCGTCTTAGCAGCAGCTGGATTTGCTGTTCCTCCTCTTCAGAAAGCTGAATCTTCTCCTTACTGACACTCTTGCCAAGCGCCGAGAGATTTTCACGCGCGCCCTGGTGATGAATCATGAATATGCCCAGCGTGTCCAGCACCGCTCTACAGCATTCGGCCGAAACACTTTGCTGCATCTGTAACCGAACCGACTGCTCCGCAATTGCCTTTACAAGCGGAACATGCCGCCAATTTGCGTCGTTCAGAACACTACAAAGCTTCCCAATGGCTTCTCCAGTGAGTTCCTCTGACCTTTCCGCAATCCAATCTGCCAACTGCGCCGCTCGAGCGTCACTCTCCACCTCGTGGTTCATCTGCCAGAGTGAGGCAAGTACATTCACGACTTTGTTAACGTCATCCAACTCCGCCATTTTCTCAATAATACCGTCAAGCATCCGCATTGCGAGCATTTCGTGCTCGATACCTAGTGAACCAAATGAAGCAAGCAGGGCACACTGGGATTCAAGCGGGAATTCACCCGCTTTTTCCGCAGCTCTGCTACCAAGTTCGTGGTACAATTGATCATTCAAGAGCATCACACGACTGAAACCTCGGATGGTCAAGAGTAAATCTGCGGCCTGGAGACTGTTAGACTGCTCCAAAATCCGACGCGAAAAGCTATCAAAAAGTTTCCTGTCCAAGTACTTTGAGCGGCCAAAAGCGCTAACAGCAAGGCTGATTGCTTCCTGGTCAATGGAATATAAAATGGGACGCAACGCAAGCCGCGTTCCAAATACGTTATACAGACTTCGTTTTGTACAATGCATGCGTGAAAGGCCGTAAAGCAAACGAGCAATGTCCTTTCCACTCCAAAACTCATGCGAGTGATCCACCACGTAGTCGGAGCATTTCTCCGCTACAAGCTGATGGGAGAGCCGCTGTCCAACTCCAGTGACCTCACCAAGTCCAAAGGCCACATCAGCAATCTCTTTCGTGGTGAGGAGGCTTAACCTACGGGGGAAATCGTCCATTATCCCGTTTGCCAGTGACTCTGGAGCAGAATACAAATGCAAAGTGCGGCACAACGCGGTGTACACCTCAGACGTAAGCGCCCCTATCCACTCCAGCAGGTAATCTGTGACGTTCTCGCTAATCATGTCCACCGCATCGCAGTATCGGCAGTGTGCTATCACCGCCAAACCAACCACAACCGGCGGCAGTGCTCGACGGAGTGACAAACGGCTCGCAACGGCATCAGTTAGTTCACCCACTAGGCCTTTTTCTGGTGTGTTTTTAGCCCATGCGAGCAGTTTTGCAAGGTCACCAACAGATTCGTCGGATAATCTCTGCATGTCGCCGCGGACCTTCTCTAGAATCGCCTGAGCAGTGGCATCCCGTCTGCATCTCTGGCAAAGCAAGCCTGCCGCAGGTAGGGCTTCCACTGGAGTTTCGCTAATACGCTGCTCCACGGTACGAAGCAGGAGACACGCAATAGCCTCAAATTCCGGGGCGTCAAAGGCCGCCTGCAAGGTGGCGAAAGTTGCAACTTGCCGTGCCTCGATACCAGACACCTCTACACCTCCCTCCATCTTGGACGCTATTGACTGCACCAATCCACGAAAAATGGGTTCCAATATGTCAAGGAGCGACTCATGCACATAGCCACGACAACACAGCATATCGAAGAGCACTAGTGCGTCGTCAGACGTGAGATCCTTCCGCGCACACGCATTCAAGCAAACGAACTGCACCACCTCGTTGTTTGTGTCCATGGCACACGACGCCTTTGCCACATGGCACATAAACGGAATCGAACAAGATCCCCGCAAAACGGAGAGCAGCCGTGTGATGACAGCTTCCTCCAAGCTGGCATGACTCTCATGGAGCACTGCTTTATCGTCCTCGAGAGTGCCACGTGGTGGGGGCAACGCCCAAGCTCTGCATAACTGCAAGAGCGCATCCAAAGATGCCTCCTGCACACCCTTCGCAACGAACCCACGCACAACAGCCGAAGTATGCATCAGTAAAGCTCCTGAATGGTCACGTCGCACTGCCCGGACGAAGGCGGCGACACCCTGCGGAGAGAGAGCATTCAGTTGTGTGGAAAGTTGCACAATAATGCCCTCAGGTACCTCCCCCTTCTCAGCAAAGATGCAAGCGGCCTGTGCTGCAATATCTACCGGAGACGTGCCGTCTTGTTCTTCCATCAGCTCAAACATCCATTCCTCCGGAACCTTTCGACCCATCAGCACCCTATCGTACGCCTGTGTTGTTCGGAAAGTTTTCGCTAAGGAAGAGGCAGTGCTGCTATTGTCAATATGCATCTTGCCATCATTGCCGTTTTCGTGTGCATCGTCAGACAGAGTAGGTAGAGGACGGAGTGCCTCGCAAACCTTGGGGAAGAGGTTAACGGAAGTTAGAAGAGTCTTTTGAATCTCGTCTAGTTGTGCCTTGCTTGCAGTAGGTATAATTGACAGCATGATGTTTTCAATCTTGTCGTGCAAGACGGGATCCCGCACTGCAAAGTGTGCATAGAGTTCCAAGGCCTGTATCACATCCGTTGGAGTCCATGCCTTGCGGCTTCGCACCTGCTGTGAGATCCACCTTCGTGCACGTGGCGCGGTCCAGCCACTCTCCCCTTCTTCATCTTCATCTCCCTCCATCGCTTCCTTGTTTTTTCCGTGTGGCGCCGTATTAATCAGTGGCAGCTCATGGGCGCTGTTGATGCACTTGCGCTGTTCATCTGTCGCCCGCTTCCGCAGTTCATCCAGAACTTCATAAATCTCCGCCGCGGGGAGGTGGGTCTGGATGAGCCGCATGAAAGACTCCAGTACGCTCGGTGAATCATTCTTCTGAAGCAGCTGTGCTGCAGAGATTAGAATCACCGGTATCGTCTCGTTGGAGTACGCTGCCACCCCATCTGTGTATCGGACAACCGCTGCCACGTGACCTATACGCACCGGGCTGCTATTCATCATTGCTACATACAACTCGCTGATGAGTGCGTCGGCAAGATCGGCGCGCGTGCAGAAGAGCGCCGCAGCGCCGTCCGACAGCATTCCCAACTCAGTGGGGGTGCATAAGTGACTAATGCGCTGCGCACGCATTGCGATTGTTTCCAAGTGAATATCTATTAGATCTTCCTGGCGCAGACGCAGGCGGGCGACGGCGGCCATCGACAGGCATAACTCTTCCTTCGTAAGTCGCGTGGCCACGAGGGGTGAGACGAACCGGCGAAGCAAACCACGCAGTCGCCCACTCATTCCAAACAAAGAAGAATTCCCTTGTTACTACTGTTATTATGTAAAAAAAAAAAAGATTTAGACCCCTCTCAAAAAAAAAAAAAAACTGACGAAAAGGCGATGCAATACATTCAGTTCAATCACGGATTTTACGACTCTCACCCCCATTTCAATCGCAGCTATCTGAGTAAAACTTGTATTGTTTTAAAATGTTGCTTACACTACGTCGATGCAGAGTCGACTGAATGCTCGTTTACTCGTTGTCGCTGCCAGCGTTTGTTTTGCTGTTCTCCTCCCCCACCCGAGGCTTCTTGCGTAAAGGTTCCGCTTCCTCCTTCGCTCCTTCCACCTCGTGCCCAGCCTCTTCCGCCAGTTGCCCTCCGCCGTTCTCAGGCTCCTTCATCAGCCCAATCAGTGAAAAAACGAGAGTTGTCCGAAGCACATCGCCGCGCTGCCGCACTTCAATCCCCACCTGAACCTTATCGAGTAGGTTTGGCACGCACTTCAGTTGCTCCTTCGGGATCTTACTCTCCTGCCCGTACTTTGGAACGAGTACAAACACATGCGTCTCGGAGAGCTTCACAACGTAGCCGTCCTCGGGTGGTATGCTCTGGTTGGCGAAGTTTCGCAGGTAGAATCCAGTGAAGAGATTCTGCGAGTCGCGCCCTGCCCGCTGTGCCTGCTCGTGGCGGTAGTTGATGTTTGCCGCAAGCGCCTCCATCTTGGAGGCGTCCATGTGAGTCTCACTGACCTCCATGATACCGAGCGCCGCAGCGAGCTGCCTGTGTACAATCACGTCCGCGTAGCGGCGAATAGGTGAGGTGAAGTGCGTGTAGATTGGCATGGCGAGACCGAAGTGTTGAAACTCATCCTGTGAAACCTCGCTACTGGAGAAGTACTGTGCCTGCCGCAGACACCGTGTAACGAGAATGCGGATGAGGTTATTAAAGTACGCATCATCATTGTCAACGCAGAGACTGAGCGAGTTGTTCAACGCCAGCGACGATGCATCGTCGAGGCGCACTCCAATCTTGCGCTGGAGTGCCTCATTCAGCGCGTCAAAGGCATTCTCTGCAGGGGCCTGGTGCCGGCGAAGCAGTGTCCACCGTGGGTAACTTGCGTACACCTTGCGTGCTGCCGCGGCGTTGGCGAAGAGCATCCACTCCTCAATCATGGAGTTCGCCTCGAATGTCTGGTACGCCTGCATGTCGGTGGGATTGACATGGTCGTTGTCCACCTTGAACTTAAACTCCTGTGAGGCGAGGAAGAGCGCACCGTCCTTCTCCCGCACCGCCTTGAAGTGTCGACTGAGGCGCATCAAGTGGCGCAGCGACACCGCAATCTCACTGGTGTCATCAGGGTCGTCAATCATGCGCTGCGCATCACCGTAGTAGAGTGCAGCACGGGAGCGAATCACCGTTTTGCCAAAATAGTCCCGCACCACGTTGAGGTTCTCATCGAATTCCCACATGATGGTGAAGGCGTAGCGGTCCTCGTTGGCCACAATAGAGCAGAGATTCTCTGTGAGCAGCTGCGGCAGCATGTTGATGCGCCTATCGACAAGGTACACACTTGTGCTGCGTTTTGCCGCCTCCTCATCCATCGCGGCATGCTCATGGAGGAAGTGTGTGACATCGGCAATGTGAACACCAACCTCGAGGTGGTTGCCGTTCACAACACGGCAATGCAGCGCGTCGTCAATGTCGCGGCAGCCAAGCGGATCCACGCTCACAACGCACAGATCTCGCAGATCCAACCGGCGCTGCAGCTCCTCCTCTGACACACTCCACTCTCCCTTCGGCAAGCAGTCATACACCGCATCACTGAAGTCGTAATGCGGAATGTCGTTCTCAAGCAGGATCACCTTTGCCTCGGTGTCCTTGTCACCAATAGTGCCAAGTACCTCCACGTAGTGACCCACAGGGAAGCTGCTGTACTCCTGCCAGTCGTCGATGATGACACTCAGCCGCTTGTCCTTGAGGTCACCCACATGCTTCGTGGAGATGCGGATACGCGGAATACGGTTATCTTTAGGCTGGAACAACACACTGACAACACCCACCGCAGACCCTGGCGATGCGGCGAGCCGCTTAAGTTCCTCAACATCAATGCTGCCACAGAATGGACGGCGCTGCATGCTGAGGATGCTAACAACTCGCCCCACCGGTGCGTAGCCGGACTCCAGCGCTGCCGCTTCTGTCATACGGCTGTCATCGAGCGGCGGCGCGTTTTTGGGGCCACGCCATGATGAAATAGGCAGCAACTCAACTGCCACAATATCATCGTGAATTGCGCGGTTGAGGTTGACACGCCCAGGAAGAAGCACGCGCTCAAAGCGGTGATTCTCCCATTTTCCACGAATCTCACCAAAGAAACAGTTTGCCTCACTAACGCGCAACTTGCCACGAAGGTAGGTGCCAGCTTGGATGCCCATCTCCACCACACCCAGGGCCAGATGGGGAGTGAAGAGGCTGCCCGTTGTGGGCGACTCTTTCATGCCAGCCGGCTGCTCGTACTGTATCTTCTCCAGCAGGTCAGAGCCGGCGGTGACGGTCTGCTCAAGAAAGTGACGCAGTGTGACGCATGCAAGATTCAGCGTGACTTCCTCCTCCGTCGTGCTGGTCGTGAGCGCCTGTCGCAGCAACTTGTCATGCGACACAAGAAGCACGGATGGTGCCGCCGTCGGAAAGGCAAGGGCCAGGTGCTGAGCGTACCAGCGAGCCGCGACACGAATGCAGCGGTCGTTGAAGTCATTTGGACTCTCGTCTCGCTCCACCATGCAGTGCGTTTGCTCGTATCGATCATTAGAGAAGACATAACATTGCTTTCGCTCATCACCCAGAAGGCGTTGCAGCCGTAGGTAGATGGCCTTGTTGCGGTTCTGCACTTCTGACACAACAGTCGATAGGAACAAGATGTTTTGCACCCGTGAATCCTCGAGGGCGTTCATGTTGTGCAGCACAATGTTAGTATCGGGAATCATGATGGGCGCGGTGGGGGCGATACACGCCCCACGCCCGCTGCAGACGGCCGCTGTGCAGAGCGTGCAGCCGAGAGTGCCACATCCAATGTCATTGCGTGTGACGCCGCTGTTGCGCTTCGCCGCGTTCCCTCGAACCTGGTGGACTGCGGACCGCTTCTTTGCGAACATTCCCTACCTGGATTCCACTCGCTATGCTCTGGCGTATGTATGTGTGTTTAAAAGCAATACAGGAAAAAAAAACACATCGGCAACAAAAATAACATCTGGCACCACAGGGCCACTCATATTGTTTCCAGCTGCAGCACCAGGCACAGACATACGAAAAACAAACAAACAAACAAACAACAACAACAACATTTTCCTCCCACCACACTAAACCTCCCCGCACTGCAGCCAGTTCCTCCACTTCGCTGCGAGAGCGCCGCAGTACTCCGCGCAATCGTCGACGGCCGTCAACTCCTCGTCGCTCACGCACCCGCTCACATCGTTCCAGCCGCATGCGACGGCAAGCACCTCGTCGGCGCCTAGTAGCTCTGTTGCATGCGGGAAGAGCGGTGCGGGAACGGTCGACACCGCGAGGCCGCCGACGCCGACTCCTGCTGCCCTCACAA